TTCCCCCCCCTCCCCCTGGGGAAATGGCCCCAGTGCTGTTGGCACTGTCCTGTGTGCAGTTAATTAAACCTCCTGCTGCGGACCTGGGTTTCTGCTGCCACTGTTCACTGATGTGTGTGAATTGCGTGGAGCACACGTACACAAGCTCAGGCACAATCACGGAAACAAACCCTGAAAATAGCAAAAGATGGAGTTGAGGGAAAGCCTTCTGCTTTTATTTATTTTTTAAAAAATTTTATTTTATTGTTTAAAGTATTACAAATAGTAGTACATATGTCTCCTTTATTTTCCCCCATTGACCTCCCCCCGGCCTCCCCTACACCCCAAACCTTAACCAGGCTTCCTAAGACCTGTGGCTGCTGCATCCTTCTAGCAGCATGGGAGGGTTAGGGAACTCACAGCCGGCAGGAGCATGGCTCTCTAAGCCTGATCACCTATGCGTTTCAGAGGACAGGGATGTCCTTTGAAGTTAGGCCCTACCCCTTTTTCATTAAATAAATGAGAGAGAGAGAGAGAGAGAGTCTTGATTTCTAGTCATTCTTTTCAAAATACTTTGTAGTGCTTTGGATCCTTCTTGTGATTCTATTTACTGGGACTTGACATGCTTATTTAAGAAGCTCTGATAAATTTTTTCTAAATCCCAGCTTACTTACTTGGGTCAAATATAGCAAGTAATCAGGCCGGGGTAGCAGTGAAGTCTTTAACACATCAGTCGCTGAAACAGGCAAGCTCTCTGTTCTTTCCCCACCCATCCCAACTCCCCTCAGCTATGTAATCTATAATAGACCGGACAGCCAAACGACCTTCTGGACATCCTTCCGGATGAAGCAGGGGCTGCAAGGGCTGAGGCAAACGAACTGTACCTTAAGACGGCAAGGAAGGCTGAGAACTCAGGTGGGACTTGGATCCAGAAAGGCAAAGAATGGCAGTATTGTAAGTCAAAGGAATCAAGTGAGCCATGGCAGGGATATAGCAATGAATATGCTATGTAAGAATAAACATAAGAACTTTACTGTATACAAAATTTTTTCATAAAAAGTGTTGGAGCCCTAGTCAGTTTGGCTCAGTGGCTAGAGTGTCAGGCTGCAGTCAAGGGCACGTAACTCAGATGCAGGCTCCTTCCTGGCCTGGGCCCTGGTCAGGACTCATGCAGGAGGCAACCAGTCAATGTGTTTCTCTCACACCGATATTTCTCTCTGTCTTTCCCTCTCTCTTCCACTCTCTCTAAAAATCAATGGAAAAATGCCCTCGGAGGAGGATTTAAAAAAAAAGTGTTGGGAAACAAATATAGTGAAGATTAAATGGTGTGATAGGGCCTGGTACTAGAAGGCTTTAATTAAACACAGGGTCCCCTGCCTAGAACTAGGTGTGCTTAGAAAGCTTTGATCAGTACCTATCTTTTGAATGGAAGGCTTGAGCGTTTGAAGGGTGGAATGAGTTTGAAGGAAATAAGGTTTCCTTGTCCTGTTTGCTTTGTTTTACTAAGTATTTGGGGGATACTAAATCAATACTCAGTCTTATAGAAGGAAGTCACCTCTGCAGTTAAAAAGTGGGGCTTTTCCCCTTAAAGGGAATTTGGTTTCCTAATTGTGAAATCTTGTCCTGATTGCTTTTAAGTTGGGAATGTTTGTGAGTCAAAGGACAGGTTTAATGTTTAAAAGAGTTTGGATAGTTGTTGTAGAAGCAAAATTGATTTATAACATTGCTTCCTGACCCAGATTGCCTGAAGGAATAAGAGAAATATCCTACATTTACCTGTGATAAGTTACACAGGCTGTTACTTAGAAATGCTGTTTGTTTGAAAGATAAAATGTAAGATCCAAATGGGGGTGGGGAGAGGTTGGGGAGGTAGTAATCCCTGGGCGGCTCTGGCAATGAAAAGATTTGGAGTTCTGTTATAAATGATAAATTTGAGTAGAAACAGATGATCCTAAGATTTACTATTACCTTGATATGAATTTTCTGATATTTATTTTTCCACTTATTTAAGGTACATTTTCATTTAATAGTGTATTCTCAATAAAGCCAAAGGGAACCTATAGGTGTAACGTAGGTAGGCTTTTGAATAGTTTGATTTATTTTCCAGTTCTTTTTCCTGTATATTGTGTTATATTGACAGTTGTCGTTATTTATCTCATTTAAACTGTAGTGCTTAGGTTGAAATTTGATTTTAGTCAATTTTATTATGATAGGTTTACCATCTTCTCAAATGTTGTACTCCTCTAATGCATTGTTACTATATCACGAAGGTAAAAACAAATTTACAGCTGTTAACCACAAACCTAACCTTTCCTCAGTTTGCTTGATTTACTACAAATTAAATTATATTATGCCTGATATAAATCATTAAGTATGTAATTTAAAGCAGTTGCTGGGATCCATCTTTTACTGTTTTTTTGCCCTCACATCCAAATGTGGAACTTCAAGTGTGAAAGGCAAGAAGATGATTAGAAAGCTGCCCTTCCGGAGGCCCACACGAGCATTCATTTCCATGTTGGTATGTGACAGCAGGACCCTTTCAGCTCTGAGCTGGGGATGCACATGCTGCATTCAGGGCGGAATGTTTGCTCCTTGACTTGTCTGCCTGATTTAAATATTCATACTTCACCAGAAGGAAAAAGCTGCTGACTTCTAAAAGTGGGTCAGTTTGTTTTTTTTTTAATGGCCCTTTTGGCACTTTATAACGTGTTAATACTGCCTCAGAGCTGGGGAATAGTTTGGCAGAGCTCATCTCTATCACGTCAGGAGCCAGGGCTTCACTAGGCCAGTGGAGGGAGAGAGCACTGCAGATATTAATAGCTAATAGACTATGATATGGGTTTTACTTGCCTTTCTGTTTGCTTTTCTGGATGTAGAATGTAGTATGTTAACCAGAAAGGATTAATTTGAGATAAACCTTTAATGGGTAGACAAGTTATAAAGATGATGATGTACAATAAACGACAGTAGCCTGTGTCTTCTGATGCAAAAATTCCATAATTACATACACTTGTTTTATTTCTCTACCTGAATATAACTTTGAAAGAGGTCTTTGGATAGAGTAGGATCATTGTTACATTGTGAATCTTGTTCCTACATCATTTATTCACACTTAATGATTAGATAAAGTATACTTTATATTGATTGAATTTCTTATATTCAGGGGCCCCCGGTGGCATTTTAAAAGTGACTGTCATTTTTCTTATCCTCACAGAATTAAGAATGTAAATATCTTTTGTGGAAAGGAGAGGTAGGACAGTAGAGAGAGATCTTTTGGAGATCCAGATTGCCATGTCTTAGTCTTGGGACATCGGTGAGACTGAGAGTTCGAATTACTTGTCCAGGAGAAATGTTATACATTTCACCAATCTCTTCCTTCAGTTACCTAGGGTTTGCATACTGAGCTGATGGTTTCAGTCCAGTCATATAATGTGTCCATGGCCTCTCCTGTACTTTATACTAGAGCAACTCAAGAACTGATAGATTTTCCCAGATTTGCATGGATCACACAGACTAATATGGCTTCTTCTTATCTCATTGTCAAATTCCGGCTCCCATTTTAAAAGGGCCAACAACTTATTTAGTGATCCAAAAGTTTGGTTCAGGTACCCCTGAAAATCTGGCATATGCCCTGTTGAGGAATGTTTACTCATGTGGCTCTTCTACAGGCCCTGAGATATGTTTGCTTTTATCAAAATGATATGCACTATATTTAGTTGCCTCACATTCTGAAAAATCAGAATATTATTGAATTGGTCATTCTGAGGAATTATTTATTTACCTCCCTTTAGACATTAATTGTATTCCAGGAGATTATTCTGTAAATCTCAGATCACATTAAATATAGTAGGGGAAATTTCATGTTTTTTTATTGACTTCAGAGTGGAAGGGAGAGGGAGAGAAAGCTAGAAATATCAGTGATGAGAGAGAATCATTGATTGGCTGCCTCCTGCACACCCCACACTGGGGATTGAGCCTGCAACCCAGGCATGTGCCCTTGACCAGAATCGAACCCTGGACCCTTTAGTCTGCAGGCCGATGCTCTATCCACTGCGCCAAACCAGCTAGAGTGGAAAATCCCATTTTTAATAGTTAAGCAAACATGCAGGATTTTAAAAAATAAATTAGATCAATAATGTTCTCCAGGATCTCATAGTGTAGAATTTTAAGGGATTCTGGGGTATATCTTTACTATAAGGCACCAGAATCTTTCTGAAATATAAACGCCTACTACTGCAGTGTTTAAGGATTAAACACCATGTTGTTTACTTTCATTAAGGTGGTTCGTGGGGAAGAAAGATAGATTTCGAGCAGGGTAGAGGACATAATTGGCTCATTTAAGGGTTCATTGTCCTATTCTTTGAACTTTTCTGTATGTTTGAAATTTTACAAAACAAAATTGCATAATAGTAAAACCAAGAAATGCTTCCTAATTTATTTTAAATCTGGGTCTTTATGTATTAGGCATGGGCATGCTGATAAAGCACAAATTGGGCAGAACCTGCACCTTTAAAATCCTGGCATATGTACCTCACTAAGTAGATCATACTACCCCAGAAAGAAGCAGGTAATCTTGGCCTGCCTATAATGGAAAGCAAGGAGAAGAAACTTCTCACTTTCAGAAGAACCCTAGGTTAATATTCCCAAGATAAATTTGACCCAGATGACTAAAAAGCAATCAGTTTTCAGTATGTTTAGTAGTGTACAGCAAAAAAATGTTATGGCTCAAAAGACATAATCACAACACTCAAATCATTGTCAACGTAGACCTTTCTGTATACATTCCTAATTTTTCTAAGATCTCATTTGTTGAGTGACTTGTCTTTTCTATCCTCCTGATTTCTCCCCTCCGCCCCTGTTTCTACTGTGTATTCTAAAAAGCATTTGTGCGTATGTTGTGAAACTTCAGTTTTTAAAAATATGACCAGCTCTACTTCTAAGTTTGAAATTGTGTCTGGGGGGCAGGGAGGGGCAATGAGAAAGGAGGTGACAGAGAAAGGAGGGAAAAAGGAGGTTTGATTTTTGTAGATGTTTTAAAAAAGAGAAAGAGACATGAGTACATGTATCCAGTGCTCACTGTATTGTCGTCACCATGAAAAGTCAGCAATAATGACCTATTTACTATGTGCAAGCATGTACAAATCTAATACACTGACAGAGGATGGGACCAACCTGGGAAACCCTTACTCTGACTAGAACAGGAACCTTAATGTGTGTACAGGGAGTGTGTGTAGGTATGTGTGTATAGTATCCTACTGTGAGCTCTGTCAGCTCTGTAGTTCTGAAGGTGAATAGATTTATATTTAACTCTAGAGCAGGGGTGGGCAAACTTTTTGACTCGAGGGCCACAATGGGTTCTTAAACTGGACCGGAGGGCCGGAACAAAAGCATGGATGGAGTGTTTGTGTGAACTAATATAAATTCAAAGTAAACATCATTACATAAAAGGGTACGGTCTTTTTTTTTTTTTAGTTTTATTCATTTCAAATGGGCCAGATCCGGCCCGCGGGCCATAGTTTGCCCACGGCTGCTTAGAGGAAAGGGAGAACTACTTCTGAGTTTTTACTACTTAAATAATCAATTCATAAGAGAGAATCAAAGTATTAGAAAAAATTACAATGGTGTTTAAACTTGAACATATACAGAATCCTCCATTCCCCACCATGGTATGCAGTGTTGTGTAAGATACTTTAGGGTTGAATCGTTAGCAAGTACTAGTATTTGTTACCAGCAGGACCTCCAAATGCACTCCTTCAGCACTTACTAGTATTCTCCATGCTCTAGACCAGCGGTTGCCAACCTTCCGGACCTCATGGACCACCAGTGGCCTGCGGACTCCTGTTTGTGGCTGCTGCCTAGACTATATTAGTTGCTAAACCTTAACTTTCTAATATACCTCAATGAGTAATTCACAT